AAAAACGTATTTATAAAAAAATATATATAAAACGTTATAACTATTCATTTGTTCTTCGGATAATTCTTTACTATATTATGTATTCCTTTAAATATTCTTAAAATAAACTGTATGTAAGAGAGCATTTAAATAAAAAATAAATCACAGCTCACAATGTTTGATGACAATTCATGGTTTAAGAATTAGTAGTCAGCGTTAGAAAAAGATATGGTCAGCTTTCTAGCAATGTGTAAATTCAATACATGAAAATATAATAGTTGTATATGAAATTTATAGTTCTATGTTCAACATTTTTATGTCTACTATTTAGCTTATTGTATGTCAGTTTTTAAAATATAAATTATGATAAATGTAAATAAGAAATATAAATATGAAAAAAGAAAATAGTGTCAGTTCAATTACTTTGTAGTTTAAATACCTTATATTGTGAGTTAATAATTTTTAATGTAATTAAGTATTTTCATACACATTATTTCTCCATACCTTGTGTCTGTATTTTCTATGCTTGTTTGTGTTAACCAAAATAGAGATTATAATAAAATATATGAGCATTTCAGAAAGTATCAAATGATGTTAAGTAGCTATGTTATCATATTGGTGCTGTAAAATAAAAAATAAAACCACATAATAGAACAAAAATAATAATTCAAATGTAAATACATTTAAAAGATAATAAAAATTTGTAAGTATTTCAATTTTCAAAGAAAAGTAATGAAATCAAATTTTAAATGAAAAATAAATTAAAAAGAAATATAAAAGAAAAAAATTTATATCATAAGCTGCACAATAGTTAATTAGTAGTTCATATATTTGTAAGAACGAATTAGTTTGTACAATGGAGGATACTGATTTAGAAATGGTAACATACGAGGATAATCTATATCTTGATTACCTTGATCTTCAAAGGAATCCTCTTTTAAAGTAAAATTAACAATGGATGGTTCATCTGATCCCACGGTAACACTAACAGGCTCACTTGGTTGATATCTATAATTAAGAAAAGAAATATATATTTTGTTGAACTAAATTATGCTTAATACTATTACGACAATAGATTAATATTATATGTATTACCTAAGCATACTTACCCCCATACTTCTGCATGAATCACGTAAGTACCAGGCAATAACAAACGCCAATATTCTCCCCGATTTGTGGTTGAAATATTGTGATCTATTCCTTTCACAATAATGTTAGCTGCTTCTATTGGTTGACCATCAGTATCACGTACAATACCTAGAATTATCATCTAAGTTGAAATATCTTATAAATGACAAGTAAGTATATATTAGGAACATCTAAGAACCTTTTACTCCAATATGTGCTTGCTCAAGATACTTTATAAGAGACTCTTTATTTAACATCCAATGCTCTGGCATTGTTGAAGCATTTGGATATTTACAGCAGCTAAGTTCAAATGTTATCTCAAATGCATTGGAACGAGCATAATTGAAATCTTGCATCCCACCAATAACTTTATACCTAGAATACAAACATTTCAGTAATATTTTTTAAATAGAAATTATTTTCTTCAGGTACTATGAAATCAAATATTTATGTTTACCAATAGGCTCCATTGGTGACACCACCTTGAAATATTTCTGGAGGACAAGCATTGCCTGCATGCATTTGTGGATGATTATCTGCATACACATGAGCTAAATATTTGAATAATTCATCATCTGGACTTTTACTTTCAATACAGCAAACTCTTGAAATTCTAAAAAAGAGTATTCACATTGAATAATTATTATAAGACAATGTACTAAACTTAACTGGTTACATTCAGAATAAGATTAACCACAGACAAATATATTTTTACCCAGAATCATATGGATAACTAGCTACAACAGCACCACCATGAAAATTTCCAGATAATACAAATGCTTCTGTAGCAATCCAAGTCATCACTGCTATTGTTTCATTCTGACGTTTGTCTAATATACCACCATTTTTCAATAATTGACTGGTTCTCCTATCAAACTGATCTGGAAAGTCTCTATTCAAATCAACATGGTTTGCATTCTCGCGTCCTGAGAAATCTTTCTTTGATTCGCATTTCCCTTCCTAATATAAAACAAAAATTCAATCAATACTTACTTTTAAGCATAAAGTACAGTAGTAAACTGTAACAGAACATAAGCATTACCTCAGACTCTTCGAATCCATCAGGATTCATAGATGGCATAAGAAAGATATCAGTATTATTCACTAATTTTGTGATCCTTTCATCTTTGCCATAATTGTGCAAGAGATATTGAGCAAGATAAACTAACAATTCTCTTCCAACAGCTTCATCGCCATGCATATTAGCAACATATTTAACCATTGGTTCACCCAGCTTACGTTCCCTAACATTTTCAGAAATTTCAAGAACCAACAGATCTCTACCTTCTACAGACTTCCCTATGGAAAATAATCTTGCCAAATTAGGATACTTCTCGGACAAGGAACTGAACAATTGTTTAAGCTCCTCATAATGTGTGTAGTGTGGAGTAATAAAATGCTCATCTAACTTTTCCTCGGAATTTATCGCATAACCATTTATGATCCCAATAAACAAACAAACAAATAGCACAACACAATACATAGTACCTGTCCGTAACATATTCAGAACAAATATTTATGCAGCAATGCAATAAAACTGTTTAAATCTCAACGAGACATTCTACACGGTTCAATATATACATACAATATCGATATAGTATACTTGATGACGTCTGCAAGTGGGAAGTACCGAGCGTGGGCAAAATAGAGTAGGGTAGGGTAGGAGATTATAAACTAATGTTTTTTTTCCTACACCTCCACAGTCATTTCAAGAAAATTTAATACTTTTAAATAATTCATAAAGAATTATATATATTTTAACAATGAACGAGAATTTTTAAAAAGTAATTCAAATTTTAAATGTATTTTAAAACGATGTTTCTCGTATGAAAAAAATATCTATATCATATAGATATTGCACATATGTGCATTACATCTTTATATATAATTTTACTTTGAATCATGACGCTTAAGATATTGATAATTTTTCCGCCTTTCTTGTTATCCACAGTTTGTCATAGATTATATTAAGTGACTCATACTTTACTTGTTTCCAAGTAATTGGTAATAAAAATATATATACTTGAAAAAATTAAATGAAACAAAATTCTTATTTCACTGTAAAGAATTCTCAACAAATGCATTATGTTATAATGCGTATATTCAATTAATTTTACAAATAATGTAAATGTTAGTAAAATCAATATTTCGTAGTTAAACTAAATTTGTGTATGTAATTCTTCGTATTTGCAATGTGTAGCTCATCATAAACCTGAATTTATCTGCATAATTTCTCTTATTTTCTGACCAATATGATTCATTAAATACTAGAGATTTCATGGAAGTTCGAATTCACTATATTCAGTATATTCTTTCTAAAACAGAGGTTATAATTTTGTTTACTTGAGTATTCTTAATTGGTATACTTAAATTTATGTTATACAAGGAAAAAGCGTACAATTTAATATAATATACATATTACGATTTTAGTTTGGAAGTTATCAATTTTGTTCCAAACAACGTATCATTATAAACATGACCACCAACAAAGATGAAAAGCAGTAAGTTACATAAAATTATCAATAACAAATAAATATTTAACTATCAATAATCTAATACTTTAAATAATTTCATGTTTGTATAAAATTAATAACTATATTATAAACAATTTTAGGTACGGTTTAATTTTACCAAAAAAGCAACAATCTGTAGCACCAAAACCTAGCAATGTATTTGGAAATGACAATGATTCAGCCGAAGAAGATGGTACTGATTGGGTTAAGAAAGCTCTTAAAGCGGAAGAAGAAAAAAATAAAATGAAAAAACAGACCAGATTGAACATGCAAAAAGCATTAAAAGAAGATCCAACTATATACCAATATGATGAAGTATATGATGATATGGAACGTGTGAAAAATCAATCAAAAGAAGCAAAGGTAGAGGTCAAGAAACCAAAATATATTCAGAATCTTTTAAAAGCAGCTGAACGAAGAAAAAGAGAACAAGAACATAGAATAGAAAGAATGGTACAAAAGGAAAGAGAAGCTGAAGGAGAAATGTATGCAGACAAAGAAAGTTTTGTTACTTCTGCATATAGAGCAAAATTAGAAGAGTTTAAAAAATTGGAAGAGGAAGAATCTAGAATGGATAGGCTGGAAGCAATCGGTGATGTCAGAAAACAACAAGATATGTCAGGATTTTATAGACATTTGTATGAACAAACTATTAAAGGAACAGGAGAAAATGAAACTGAAAACATTATACCTAAAGATACAAGTAATTTACATAAAGAAATAGAAAGTGAAGAAAAAGATATGACTACAACCAATAAAGAACAAATGACAAGTAAAAAAGCCAAAAAAGTTAGGCAATATAGACAAAGAATAATGGAAGATGAAAGTGACACAGATACAGAAACTTCACAAACAGTAGAAAATAAAACGAAGATCTCTTCAATTGAAAAAGATGAAGCTATTGAAACAGGAGATACAGAAGAACCACAGGTCAAAAAATTAAAACAAACTGAAAATGCAGAATCTAATGAGGCTAATAACAAAATTGCAGTGGAAAATACTTCAACTTCAAAAAGTAAAGATGGACCAGAAGATTGTGAAAATAACAAAGATGAAACGATCAAACCTAATGTTAGCATGAAAGCAAAAATAGAGGCAGAAAAGAAAGAAAGATCTAAAATTTGGGAAAAGAGAACAATTGGACAAGTGTTTGAAACTGCATTACAAAGATATTATGCAAGAAAGTCTACAAGAATCGCTGCTACATAATTAAATAGAATTCTATAAAGGTATTTATAAGATAAAATAAGTCACATGCTGCTTTACATTTTCTTATAAAATGACATTCAAACTGTAGGATATAAATTATTTTTATTGTAGTATGTATAATGTACAAATTAAAAAATATGTAGGATATTTAGTACACAATGCATACTGTACAGATAATGTGTATAATTAATGTAGGTGGATATTTGTAATTTTGTAAATTAAAAATTTGCATATATCTAATGCGAATGTTACTATAATACATGTGATTGCCTTCTGGTTGAGTACTTATTGATAAAACCTTGTGTATACATAAATACTTTTTATCAGTCTTTGAACTATCTTAAGTGTATACATAAATTTTGATTATTTAACAAATAATTATAAGAGGGCGAAAATTCTAGCAACTTAAATTTTAACTCTTTTCAAGCATCATTTATAAGTGGTCAGTATTCATGTTTTAGGAAATAAATACTATTTCTGTGAATAAAAAAGAAATGCATATGAATGTATATTGTTTATCTTATTACTTCAAAATAATATTAAATTTAAAGGCTATAAATGTTTATAGTACAAAATAAGCAGTAATATTGATTTTAACTAGATGTGATTATACTTGGCTTCATATGCCCGGTACCACCATAACACCATAATGTGACTCTCCCACTTGGTAGAATAGAAATCCATGTAATACTTGCATGACTTAAATTTAAACGCAACCAACCCTCAGGTGGAAATTGTAGTGCCCTGAAATAAATAACAATTTCAGCATTAATTTATGCATAAATCTTCAGAAATAAAATACTAGCAAGATAATTTACCGGCATACAAAATATCTAATAACATTTGCATGACAAACAATAATAGTGTAAGAATCTTTTTCTTGACATGGATCAGCACGGTAAAAATATCTTCTGAATGCAGCCTCTATTCTAGGTCCATCTTCATGAAACTGAAACATATTAATGAACAGTATATTTATTTATAGTGAAACAAAATATTACCTTATTCTATGTAGAATAAAGTTTGGAAAATCAAGTTCATAAAAGGTAATTATATATATAATATATTTACATGTATTTCAGACTTCCAATGACCAATTGGTGGTTCAGGTGGTATAGGTGCACCTTCAGTAAGGAATGAATCATCCTGTACATTTACATTCTTAAGACTTTCTTCTATAATTTTAGAAGTTTCTTGAGCTCTGGTCATTGTTGATCGTACAATCAAAGTATATGGAAAACCTAATTCTTGTAATCTTCTTCCTGTAGCATCAGCTTGCTTTTTACCTTTAGGTCATATAAATTTTAATAATTATTCCATTTTGGTCTTATGAAACAATAAATAACATGTATAAAACACTAACCAAGTTCTGTAAGTGTTCTTTCCAGATCTGTTTTGCCTGAGACATTGTATTGTCCATGACGTATCAAAATTATGTGCCGAGTAGCTTTAGCCTTTTTCAATGATAATTCCTTGTTGTATAAATTTTCATCACTTTCACTCTTTATTTTCATCGGCTTCACTAGACTTTTTGGATCTCGCCTAAAATTAAAATTGCAAACACAATATGTTACATCCAGATTGACATCCAAATAAACTACTTATATTTTATATGTAATTAACAAATTACTTTCATTATAAAACTGAAAAAAGATATTCATTTATACACGAGTAATGGAATAAAAAATGCATAGTATAGAGGTATATATTTGTATACATAAATGTATTTATTAATGTTTAGGTACAAAATATACCTTACACACAATTTATATTCAAAAAAGGAAAACGGATAAGACTAATTTTTATTACATTAATTAGATTAATTTTGTATTAAATAATCTCATCAGCAGTTATAAAAACAAGAAAAACTAATCTTAATTATCTGTTAGTATTAAATTATAAAGTTATTAATATTATTTTATCAATAGCCATGATAAAGTGTATAACCTATCCCAGTTGTGATTCCATTTCACCGACGGGTTTGAATTCGTTGTCCATGAATTTTGCACTTGCAGAAATTCTTTATTACCACAAACATTCCAATAAAATAATGTTGCACCACCTAATGCAGTAAGTCGCGTTGCCCATTTTTTAAAACTTGATCTCATAGGCATCGTTGCAGTGAGTAAGTTACCTCAGCTAAGCTACTGTTATATTTCAAATTCCGCAACTTTTTATACATCAGTACATTTGGTACGAGTTCGTTAAATTTCAAATTTTTCATTTTTCGTTTTTCTTAAGATAAAGTTACTTTATTATACAGTTATTTATATTAATTCAATTTCATATTTTGATATGAATTTATTATTCACAAATCTTTGTAGGTATTTTGCCAATATATTTACTGATATGAAGATGAAAATTTGTATGTGTATTTTATATAGGACTTCAAATTTATTAACGAATATTTTATTTTTAAAAAACAAGATATTAAAGGAGAATTTAGAAAGTGTACCTGTATTACCTCTAAAAGGAAAGGGAGGACATAAAACTTGATAAAACAAAAAATAGAAATACAATGTTATTAAGAAATTTATTTTTATTTCCTCATAGTATAAAATTGTGAAATGCAGTTTTTATTTATCTAAATTTGTCCTATTATTACTTATACAAATAATACTTTAACATTACTTATACCTAGTTATAACAACTGAACATGTATAAAAAGTATTTAAAATATATTTATATATAATGTACATTGTTTTAAATGCACTACTTAATAAGTATTATTTATAGTCGCAATATCTTTATACTTTTTACAGATTTCATTGATATGAATCCATTAAAAGATTGCCATCTTTATCTTTAAGCCGTATCCTACCGTTCGAGTATCGTGTTTCTTGTGTACCGTCGGGATAAATAAGCTTAACTGTACCATCAGGATATTCTCGTCTCTGAAATACATAAAATATGTTGCAAAATTTATTATATATGTAATTTTTAATAAAATTTCTATTTTAACCTTATGAGTTTTTGTATGTATTTCTTGTTGTCCATTTGGTAAGGTAAACACTTTTTCACCATTAGCAAATGTTTGAATTAAAGTCCCATCTGGTAAGGTCCACTTTTCAGTACCATCTGGTCCTAAAACTCGTATAGAACCATCTGGGAAGGATACTTCTACAGCACCATCATGCAGTCTTCTTTCTATTTGGCCACTGTATCATAATACAAATTTCATATTATTAATAATTACCAAAAACAATATGACATACTATTGTAACTTACTCAGTAAACTCTAAAATCTCTGATCCATCTGGCATTGTTGTGTGCCACGTTCGGGTCGACGCATAGAAATATTTTACTTTTCCTTCTTTACTAGTTTCACGTACATCTCCATTATAATATATCAGTTTAGTCAAACCTTGGTCTGGGAAAACCTTTTTAACATTTCCATTCGGATACCAATACTCGATACGTCCGTCTGGATGTTGAATTTGTCTTATACCTTGTTTATTAACATCAGAACTACTTTGATGGGATGGTGATCTCTTTACACAAGCATTTGATGATGATTCATCTGACGATATTAATATTGGATTTTGATTATGATGCTTGTGGGAGATTCTAGGTGGAGATATAAGCTGTTCACATTCATGTTGTACATGAAATTGGAGATTGCTGTTCGAATTGGTATCATTGAAACGTGCAATATCAGACTCCTTGATTAACTCTTCAGAATTATTCTTCACAGCATCTTCTGATTTATTTAATTTCCTTGATTCATTATCTAAATCAGATTTAGGTTCACTTAAATTTCCTCCAATATGAAGCTGTTCATGAACATCTAATAAATCAGATGTTGCTTCCTTAATCAGATTTTCATATAAATTACGTTTTTTAACAACATTTATCGCGTTTATCTGCCCCCTCTGTAATTTTTTATTTGAGCTGCTATTATTATTTTTACAATTATATTCCTCATCTTCTATATTCTCAGTTTCATTTGTATCAATTATTTTTGTCACTGGTTCTGGCAACTTTTGGTCTTTCTCATCTGATGATGAGTTGTCATTGGTTCTTTTAGACTCTTTATTTTGCATGTCAATTTGCTTATTAATTTGATGAATCGCTTTCGTATTTGAAAAGATTCCAGGCTTTCCTTTGCTTCTAGCATTACTTTTCCTCAGATTCTGTAATCTTTCAATCTCCTGTTTTAGCTTACTATTTTCCATTTTCAAGATCCTCATTTGACATTTATGTCTAGACTGTGCAGCATACCATCTACTTTCCTTTAACTGGAACTCTTCTTTTAATGTTTCGAATTCTTGTTTTAAATTTTGTATCTCTTGTCTTTCTAATTTACTCTGTTGAGCTTTTTCTTGTGAATCCCGCATCCTATTTTCCAATGCAGATTTTTCACGAATTAACTTTTTCTTCTCTTCCTGTAAACGGTCTTCCATCTGTTTTCTGCTTTCTTCCAAATTTTTCTCTTTTTCTGCATATTCTTTATGTAAATTTCTATGATCCTCCAATAATTTTTTACGTTGAGCAGATAAAGCTGCATTCTCTTTACGGAATATACTAATTTCTTGTTCTAGTTCCAGTAGACGATTCTTCAAAAGCTCTGATTTGAAGACAATTTCATCTGTTTCCTGCAAATTTTCTTCACTTCTTTGATCTTCAATCATAGTTGAATCATTATTAATATCTAGTAATTCCTTACTTTCACCAGTATTACATGGTTCCATACATTTTCTCGAATTCCCAGTATTCTGAAAATTATTGACATTCTGTACTATTAAATTCTTTTTATATTCTTCTAAAATATCTTGTTCATTATCCAATGTTTGAACAGTAGTGTCAGAAAATTCTGAATCATCATTATAATAAACTTGTTGATGTATATTCTCATTAGGATCAAAACTATTATTTTGTTCCATAGTTTTGTGTGTTTGCGCTTCATAATTTAATTTTCCTTGTGCATTGCAATGTTCAAACGTGAATTTATAATTACTATTCTGAATATTACCTTGAGCTGTTGAGGACTGTGGTAACATTTCTGTATCGGATACTTCTGTAGTTACAGAATCATCCCAAACCTGTTTATCACAGGAATCTTTTATTGCTAATGATTCAATTGATATACACGATGTGTCTGATGATCCAATGGTTTTATATTCATTGTACTCAGAAAATCTCACATGTAGACTAACATCATTAGCTTTCTCAACATTAGACCCATCATAAGAAATATCTTCGTTATGCATAGATTGAACTTGATTTCTAAATGTTGCATATTTTTTTATACTTGCATCTATTTTAGTATTTTCTTTAAAATCTTCAAAAGCTTTTGCACTGTATGGATTTTTATCTTTCATTGAAGGTAAATCTTTCTTATTTACAATGAGACTATAGTTACGAAAAGACTCATTGTTTTTAGTAGGAGTTGTGCACATGTACGCTTGATTGGACTTTAAAACAGATTGACTTTTGGAATTTTTAATTATCGGACTTTGATGTTTCTTTACTTTGAATGGTGTTGACTGTTGTAAAAATGCAAGAACAGTACTAGACGTAGAACAGAAACTGGAATTTTCTGCTTTTTCCTCTAATAATTCAAATATCCTTACTTCTTCCATTTCTTTCTGTGTTCCTGAATGAAAGTCTGAAGTATTTAATTCTGCTGTATTTTTAATATTGTTAACATAATCCTCCAATTTAGTCACTAAAGTACTAGATTCTGATTTACTACGAACTTTTTTCTTTGGCAGAGGCACATTTTTCAAACACAATTGCTTTTGTGATGCATTTGTACGATTTAAACTGTTTGTCTGTTGTGCATTTTTTGTAGATTTATTACTATTAGTAGATTTAGATACATTCTTAGATTGCTTAGAATCAGATTGTGTGCATGTAGAAAAGGATACACTTCGCGATCTTCTTTTTATAGTGAAAGTTGGCAACTCTTTGTTTAATTTAAATCTAGACAAACCTTCTCCTTTTTTCAAAAATGGTTTCTTTATTACTTTAGCTGTTGAATTACCATTAGATTTTTCTGTAGATATATTGTCAGAGTCTTTTAATCTTTCTTCAAGTAATGTATGAAAATCTTTTTTTGGTGAAGGAATTGGTACATCATCTATGCACATGCGATTAATTAATGCCTTATTAGATGACAATGGTGCTACTCCATCTATAATAAATTTCTCCACTTCTTTTTCTTGTCGTGGTGAAAGTAGTGTCAAGCTAGTATCATTTTTCTCTTTCAATTGTTGTTTTACATGATTTTCAAGAATAACTGCCTCCTTACCCAAATCTTTAAGAGGTGTTTGTTGAAGAATCAGATTGTTAAATTTATTTACATTTTGACTAATCATTTCTATACTACTGTCTATATTTTGCAATTCATTGTGATCTTCTAAATCTTGATTATCGGTCTCAGGATTTCCTTTGATTTTATTCAAATCATTCACATCTAATACGTTCTCACTTATATCAAGTTCTTGTAGAGATAACTCAAGTGCTTTATACATACAATCTTGTTTCTGAGTTAATATTTCTCTCTGCATTTGTTGCTCTTTCAATAATCGTTCTTGTTGTTCTAATTGCCATTGTCTTAACTTTTGTAATCGTTCAACTATAGTTGCTTCTAAATCCATGTTTAATGATACATTACATACATAATAAATGTTATTCAAGATTATTTACATTGTAGAAAATAATCTACACGTACATATGTACATGTAAATATAGAAATGAATATAATTTTGCAACCTTATAAAAATACAGTATTATAAATACCTTTTCTAATTTATTTTCTTGATATTTTTTATCTCACATTAATGTATATTTTTTCTTTTTAATGTTCGAACAATGTTATACAGCAATAAAACTTAGCAAATGTAACATTTGTTAAAAAATATTTATAGATGAAAAATCAACAGTCAAATATTCATACGTTTCTTCAGGTATATACGTGTATCAACGAATAAAAGATTATAAAAACGAAAATGAATATATCAAAAACGAAACTTCGTATATTAGTCCTCGTATTTTTACATCAATGCAATACAGAAGATACTCGTTTCTGTTTTAAATCGTTTGACAGTTTAAAAGTGATAAATATACGTCATACACGAGTGAATTGAACCGCGCAAACAACATGGAATAGTTACCTGCACTGCTTGAAAAAGCTGCGATGATTGGTTAGTCTCAAATCATGAACCAATCGTTATTCATTATTCAAATGTGTTTTATTTGCACTGAATAAAAGATGTCAAATTCTTCATACATTTTTAAGCGAAGTTACAGATACAATATGAGATTTCACGAATAAACAAATAAATTATTCAAGTGGGTAAAAGAGGAAAATGAATTTATAAGAACACAATATACCAGTTTTTATAATTCGTTACAAAAATAACGTTTATAGTACAGGTAAATTTTATTTCTACGTTCTGAAAAATGGTCAACATTATTAAAACTTTTTAAAGTATAATGTACCGCGTTTGAATAATACATAAAATGAACAAATTTATAAAATCGTTACAAATTAACTTTTCATTACAAGATTATTATTTGATATGTAATGATTTTTTTCATTCCTAACAATGTAAGATTTCAAGGCATTAATTACTTTTTTTTTGTTACCATTGTATAAAAAGTGATGCAACTAATTTATCTTATATCATTTTTATTACAAATTACAATAGTGTAGAAATCAAGAACATCTTAAAAATTTTAATTATATACTGCGTATATTTAATTCAATGCAACAAATAAGAATTTTCCTATAGTTGAATGTTAATTAAGTAAATGCGATATAAATGTTTCAATTTAATCAAGGTGTAACTGTAACTATCAAAAGAAAATAGAACTACAAAATCTGAAGCTTAATATTATCCGTTTTAATATACATTGTCTAATAACAAATAAAATGCGAAATTGATTATTAAATACCATGCATAGTTTCAGAGTATTGTTGAACAAATGAGTTTCTCAACAAAATTTGTGAATATTATATCAATATATAAAATTTATAATCAGTATGTTTTCTACAACATAGTCAATTATAATTTCCTATTAACAAGTAATACAACGTTTCGTCATACGGTTTGATTTCAATAGAATGATAATATGTATATAAGACCGTAATACTTTATAAAAAATATACTTATAAATTTACTGAAATACTTCATTGTAGAACTAATATAATAAATCATTCTCTGAACCATATAACTTAATAATAAGTTTATCAGAAAGTGATTTCACGATAAACCTTATGAATTATAATAAGCATTTAAGCTTTTTATGAACAATTTTTTCGTTAAAATTATGTTCACCGTTAATTTATAAATCCATGTAATAGGCGACAAATTTATCCTTAATTAAAATAGAAGTAAATTCAATAGATTCTATACTACAATTATAAATTTCGTCAATTGCTCTGTTAGTATTTCTTGAACATTCATCATGTGTTTATTAAACATGAGAAGTAATATTTAATATAACGAAGAAATGTTTTAAAATTGCATCGAAATATAATTCTGCTACAGTTTTTAAAAATAACATAATTTTCAAGTGCACGGTTGTAACAAATGAAAATTAATCAGTAACTATGCGTCTGTATTTTCTATTCGGAGGAAACACTTCCTCGTCTTCGTCTTTGTCAGCTGATAGAAAAGGGTCGTCGTAAGCATAATTCGGTGCCCATTTTAATAATAATTTCTCAAAAAATTCTTCTAAATTTCGTGCTTCTTGATAAACCTGCGACTCAACCTAAACGCAATCAAAATTACACGAATATAATTAAAATAAAATTCCTAACTACACAATTAGAGATTTGCAATTCTCCAAGAATCTTATATTTTAAAACTTACAGGATTGTATGTAAAAGCATTTTTAAACATCAATCTGATATCCGCCATCACTTGTCTTAAATCTGCGTAATGATTTGGGTGATCGGGTTTCAATTTATCTCTAATTACATCTAATGCAATAGGTTTCTTTATAATACGATGATAATCGATTATCTAGAGAGGAAAAAAATTCAACAACAAGTTAGCTTCTCTTTGTTGCTTATTAAATATTGTATATGTATATATTCTGTAGATTTACCTCGCTAGAAACAACTTCACGGAAGGGTAAACTTTGCTCATACTGACAATAAAGCTCCAATACAATCCTTTGGGCAATTCTTAATTCTTTCGTACTTATAGTGTTGGGCCTTTTCTCTCCCGGTGGATCATCCGAGCAATCGAGTACATTTGTACATAACATACACTGCCATGTTTCACTCTCGCTGGAAAATACAAATAAAATTTGGATATGAATCACATTATGCGTAACAGATGAACTGTGCTACCTACTTACGTACTTACTCAGGAAACGATTTTAAACTAGGAATATGACAATACAAGTGGAAGACTTTTGGACATTTATCACAACATAGCACAGCATCTCCCCCATCCATACACACTGCACACCAGTCTTCGTTAGGATCGTCCTTTGTCATGGATGCTGCAGCATTTTTTGAATTATCTATTGAACATATAATTACGCACGTGCATTTATCATTTTAATATTATTCATCGTATGTCTAAAAATATTTCTATGTTAATTACTTTTTCTCCCCTACTATTCAAACAAAGACAGTCAGTGTAGCACGAGATACCAATGATTTAGTCAGAAAATTCGTATACCTGATGCATTTTCAACCATCGGATTCATTCCCTCATCAGTCGAGCTATCTACTTGAGCTGAATCCAATTGATTTCGTTGGGCTTCCGGTATTACCACAATTCCATTACTATCTAATTTCGCGATGGTGAGCATCAAATCGTTCAAAGATTTTTGGCAAAACTTGTCCAAACTTTTCTCAGTTTCATCAGTTTTACCGGGTGGTACAGGACTAGGCGTCTTAGGTACCGACGAACTAACTGTATGGCCAACAGACACGGAATTTTGTGCTTGAGGTGGATTATCAGTGGCGACGCTTGCTTGCGTGTTGTATTTTTGATTGTTGCTTGACTGTTGGTTCTTCAATGTTATCTTGTAAGTATCGTTGATAGGAACTGGCATCGGGGGCGTTGTTTGATGGCGGGAGGGATAATAAGGAAGGCAAGGGTTCACATTTTGGGGGATGTGCCAACGAGCTGTGGTGGGTTGTTGCACAGGGTAACTTAAATGCTGTGCAGACGGTGAAGTTGCGTTACATTGTTGAAGCCTTATACCGGACACCATGGACGTATTCGTCGGTTGATACGTGTGCGGTGGTACTGGCCGTTGAGAATTACTCGACGGGTACCTATAAGTTGGCAATCGGTATGGTACATGATTCGTAGAAGGCCGATACGGAGGAGGATTATGCGCGAGAAGCCCACGTAGACTTGTATTCTGACCAAGCTGATCCATATGAACTTGTTGATGAGGATGCGTAGATGAAGTTACTTGCTGGTGGCAAATTCCCAATGGACGCTGTTGTATCATTAATGGTTGCTGCAACCTATTGTTGAAGTTAACTGCATACGGTACACGTGGCTGATGTGCTTGAGGTGATGAACGTGGCGGCATATTATTCATAGGATAATGCTGCATATAATTTTGTGATTGTGCTTGTTGCAGTTGCTGTTGCGGTTGCGGTTGCGGTTGCTGCTGTTGCTGTTGTTGTTGTTGCTGCTGCTGCTGCTGCTGTTGTTGTTGTTGTTGTTGTTGCTGCTGCTGCTGCTGGTGTTGTGTTAAAGGTAACGATGGAGGCACTTGCTGGTAGGAATTTTGTTGAATATTATTCGACTGCTGTGTCGCAGGAGGTATTTGTACAGCCATAGACGAACCATCCATTGGTGTGTTAGGAAGATTGCTCGTCTGTTTCAGCTCTGGCTGCGAGTCATATGACATGGATGGTGTATTTGTTCCACCCAGTGGAGATATTGAAGGATATACTCTGCCATCTACTACTATCGCTCCAATCGATGAAACCACTAAAATGTAGAAATATTACTTTTAGTCCTGCCATGCAACCAATATTTGAAAGACATTGGAATTTTAGATCATAGCGGTATTACAAAGTGTGCCTATACTTAATAACATAATTAAGCACCTATTTATACTAATTTAACCTTTTATCAAGTCTGGTACTTTTTCCAAAGATAAATGTATTCTGACAGGTATTTCTGGATTTGGAATGTCAGCTCGTCTACTTTTTATTCTTTGTAAGTGACTTGTAACAGACCTATAATAACAGAATTAAATAATATATATAACAATATTATTTACTTTATACTATCTTACATACTTAGATACATACTTCTTACTATACAGTAATTCCAGGTCTGAGCCTTTTTTCAAGGCATGAGCCACAAATTGAATGCAATGATCTGTAAGCTTTGATAATTGATCTAAAGCGACTTTTTTTTCGTTTAATGTGTTCTGCTTTTGATCGCACACTTCATTCAAACGCATAATTAATTGCTTTCCTCTTGTGTTGATTGCATTCGTTAATCTTTAAACAAAGAAATTACACGTTATAAGCAACTTTGTGAAGATAAATTTTTATATAATGAATATATAGACTTACTGCACCACCATTTGTGTTATATCTTGTACTAAATTTTTTTTCTTCTCTAAAATGAGGACTTGCCTATCCTCTATAACTTTCATAGCACTTTTTAATAAAACTCGTTTATAACTGAAAACATAACAACAATATGATTATTAACGACCAATAAAAATAAGCATTCAGCATGCTTATACATTTTCAAAATATTAGTAACTGTTAAAACCTAAAAACGCTATAAATAAAAATGAAAGAAACAAAGAATTACCTCACTTCTTTAAGTAAAGTCGATACAGAAGTACGTGTTTCAGCAGCAATTTCATGAATAAATTTGTACTTATGATCTCTGTGTTCACTTAACTGACAGTCCCTACAAGTAAGTTTATCACATGTTTGACAAAACAAAGATAATTGTTCATGCGAATGAATTGTACAAAATAAATAGCCAGGTATTTTTTTGTTGTCCTTTTTAACATTGTCCCTATCATTGGCAACTTCATCCTTTGGTTTAATTGTATGATCCTTTGTGATTTTTAATCTTTGATGTGCCTAAAATATTTCAAAATTCAGTATTATTCTTTACATTGTACTTAAAGACACATATATAACATGTATATGACCACTATTGCAATTTAATTACCATAACACAGTTCTGACAGATAAATTCTTCGCATTCCACACACCAACTTGTAGCATTGGCATTGTCATGACAGCTGGTACATTTTTTTTCTTCTTCAATTTCTTTAGATTCATCGTCAGTTCCTGGACTACTATCTTCCTCTATAAATTTTGACAAGAATCGATTCTCGATTAAATTGTCTGCTTGGGTAGTGACATTACAAATTTGACAAGCAATCACATTGCTTTCCACTGCAACAATACGTACATAATTTAACCCACATTCTCTATATCGCGTATTGTATAAGGTTAATAACAATTTATAATTTACAGTCATATTTCAAACAACATATTTAAAAAATGTTTTCTTAACAATTCACTTTACATTTTCATACCAACACCAAAAGTTATCGTCAGAAAATAAATTTGCAAAGGACAAGCCAGTTGAATCAAGTGAAAGCATTATAGTTTCTCTTAGTTTCTATTTTTTGAAGACGCGATGTCTGCAATATTTTATCATTGTTAAAAATATTCAATGTAAATAAAAACTGTATATTGCAAACAATTTGATTCGTGAACGACACATGTATAATAAACGAGTTAAAAATCATGGTAGTGTAATGCGATCTTACACAAAACATCCACGTCGACCGACGTATTGTGATCGCTTAGTTTACTGTTGACACATGCAGTGCATGCTGCATGTAAACATTCTAGGAGTTTTGGGTCATCGCCGGAGGCGAAGGTTTTCCCGCAGAACACACATTTCGATAAAAATGCACGTGTCTCGTTCTCCTGACCCTCGGTAGTGCACTCGATACGCTGCTCGCATTCTTCCTCTATGCAAACGCCCTGTACTTGAGACTGTTGCATATCCTGCTTCGCGCCAGTTTGGTCGACCGGTTCTTCCTTAATCGTTGCTGGAGGGCCCGTCGTTAGCAATTCATTTGCTCGAGGTTCCATGTTTAAACCACCCAAGCATAAATAGGCACACGCAAAAATCGTTTTTACAATTTATGAAAATATAGTTTTCTTGAACCGTGGAGCGTCATGGTCCACCATACTACATCCTCAACTCATTCTGATTAATACATTTTAGGAGGGAAACCGAAGAATGGATCAGATATTGCGCGATAATGGCGACCTCTATAGTTAATGATTTTAAATAAATCTGAACCTATACAAAGATGATTCACTACACGTGGTAAATAAGTATTTTTTAAATGATGGTTCTATATATTAAAATAAAAATAAAATCGGAAGCAAGAAAATTAGGTTGAAAGCTTTATTTCGTATATATTTTTATTTGCGTAATTTCGTAGAACTCGAAAGGTTCAAGGAACTTAGAGATTTAGAGATTATTACATTGGCTGATCCTTATCATTATTCGTTCAAAATCTGGCCAATAAGAGTAGTTCTACGAATGATAGAAATGAGACATTATGGGAGTCGTAAAAATGTGAAATTAAGGAACATTATAACATCTTGTAGTTATATTGTATAAGGCTGTTTGTTACGGTCTCATAGAAATCGGCCATAGGATTATTTATTTTCACTGTTTCACGTGTAGGTTCAAGGGAAGTTTGTAAATAGTAATGCATGGTAGAAAAGCTTTGAAAGCGTAATATATTCTATTGTTCAACATGCAGTTAAATAAAGGGAAATTGATAGGTATGTTGTTTTAAATAAAAATCATGTTGAAAAGCAAGTTTATTCATATAATTCTGTAATATATTGATTTGTTGATAGGTTGCTAATACGTTGCAAATAATTAACATAAATTTAATAATTAAATATCTCCTTTTAGTATTAAATAACGGTAACTAAAGATGGATAATTTTGCAGGAAATTTAGCTGTTGACAATCACGATAGTGATGATAGTGAAGACAGCGATGAAAGTATGCAGGCATCTACAGATAGCGATGAAACAATGAGCAGTAGTGATGAATCTGAATCAGAGGATGAAAATCATGAAGAAAATTCAAATAATAATGAGATTCACGCCCGTACAAGTATGTTTCATGACATTTAAATAATTTTGTGTTCAGTGTAAAGTTTAATGATAATTGTATTGTCATTGCAAGGTGAAGACATAGAACCAATATTGTTAAATGAAGATGAGGAAGAAGATGAAGTTGTGAAAGCCATAATTAGATCAAAAGACACACAAAAAGATCATCCTCCTTCTATTACAACAGAAGAACACATAGTAGATATATGCTTTCATCCTAATTCAAATATTCTTGCTGCAGCTAACATAGTTGGCGATGTTTGCCTGTAAATTTCACATTTAAGCTATACCATCAAATCTAGTAGAACTTCTGATTATACAATCATGTTCTATATAATTAAATCTTTCACTTTTTAGATACAAGTATAGCAATACAGAAACAGAACTTGTTTCAACTTTGGAATTACATCTTAAACCATGTCGTGACATTGAATTTAATGAAGATGGAACAACATTATTTTCAACTGCTAAGGACCTAGCCATAATGCTCACTGATGTTCAAACTGAGAAACTAAAAAGAGTATATGAAAATGCACATGAGTAAATATGATATTATTATTCGTATTTTGATGAAATTTATTCTATGTATATACTTGAAATTAATTTATATTTTAGTGAACCTATCTACACAATGACTGTAATCGGGGAACATATGTTTGCAACAGGAGACGATGATGGTGTAGTAAAATGTAAATTTTAGTAATTGTATACTATTTTTCATTCCTTCTGACTGTATGTCTGTAATTATCTATACTACAATATAATTATGAACAAATATTTTCAGTATGGGATCTTAGGCAAGCAGGAAATGTACCTGTATTTTCAATAAAAAAGATGGAAGATTATGTAAGCTCAATAATAACAAACAGAGAAGGAAAATATTTAGTGTGTGGAAGTGGAGATGGTTCTCTCACTACATTCAATATACTAGGGAAAAAATTACATGTTCAGGTATACACATATTTATAAGAAGCAACATATCGTTTAATTAACTTTACTATTTTTATACCAAACATTTTAATAGTCGGAAGAGTATGACGAGGAATTGACATGCCTTGGTTTATTTAAAAATGAAACGAAAATTCTTGTGGGGACTAGCAAAGGAAAAATGTATATATATAATTGGGGAGAGTTTGGACTCCACTCTGATGAGTTTCCAAGTGTAACAAAGAAGGCTATAAATTGTATGGTTCCAATTACTGAGAATGTAGTAATAACAGGAGGAGAAGATGGAATGCTCAGGTAATAAATTATCTAAATTTTTAATTACCGTATCGAATAAATAAATCAGTAATATAATTAATGTTTTAATATGCAGAGCTACTAGTTTGTTTCCTCGTAATAATCTTGGGATCGTGGGTCAACATACTTTCTGCATTGAAGCCACTGATATAAATAGCGATGGTACTTTAATTGCATCTTCCTCGCACAATAATGATATCAAATTTTGGAATGTGCAATATTTCGAAACTTTAGACGTAGCTCACCGTGTGAAAGGTGGAAAACAAAAACAATTGAAATATAATCTTCCAAGTAGTAAGACTGATAATGCATCAAGTTTCTTTTCAGACCTTTAGAATAGAAACGTAAATAATAATTTTATATAAAATGAGTCGTTGAATGTATTGTAAGTTATTAAACATCATTTTGCAAAGAAGTGTTAATGGAGTACATTATGATACACGAGTTTATTTATTTTATGATTCTCATATACTTACATTAAAAATTTATTACTGTATTATACGAATGTAAAAACGACAATAAAATTACATGTAAATATAAATATTTTATTTATATAATTTAATTAGATTACATATGAAAATTATAGATGCTTTTACCAAACTTTTATTACTGACACTTTATGGTACAATCATAGTGTAGGTGTAGTATACAATAGATGGGTACAAACTTGAGTTTCTAATATGGTTTTCTGACTAAATAAAAAAGATGTAGAAGAAAAGAGTACAAAACTTAAAGTTGTATAATATTATGTATTTTCCTAAAAATGTTATAAAGTACACGCTTTGGAACATTCATTTGTAACCATTGCATTGCACGATTCGTAATTTACAATAAGTTACTTATTATACAATTTTTTTTATTTTTCAAACAGTAATAGAAGTTCGTTCGGTATCGACTAAATAAGATTATAAAAAAAGGTTCTCTAAGCTAAAGGTGATAAAAATTCACTGGATATTTGCTACTGTAATTACAAGCATTTAATATACTTCATAATTTGTACTTAATCGCTAAAAAAAGAACTCATAAAAATTTAAACAGAACATGATATAAACAAAACATAAGAATTCATGTATATATTATGGAATTTAAATCATCTTTACTAGTATAAATTAGAATAAATAATACTGATATTGTATAACACTTAACATAAAAATTCGAAATTCAATGTGAAACTGGGTAATATTGTATTATCGAAGATTTCTTCAGAGTCCTCGAATAAAGATTTCGTATTGTTATATATAGAAATGAGTAATAATAAAAGTATTATTATACATTAATAGGATATACAAATGTTCTTATTGATTAATTGCTAGTACGTTAAATACTACTAATATTTTTTACGTGGTAATAGACCATATACAAACAAGCAGAATATTCAACGTCATAAAAAATGCATTATGAGTTCCAAGTCCCTTATAATTTTCTGTTACGAAAACAAAAAGGGTCCGAGAGGTTTTATGAAAGTAGTTCACGTTTCATGAATGTGATCGCTTCAAATATTAAATGTATTGATAAGAAGGTAGAATGCAATATATTAAATGCTCAATATTTATTCTTAAAAAGTCTTAAATAAATATTTCAAAACGTTATTACATTATGTTATTACTCGTAGATACGAGCTAGTTAAAAAGTTGGACTCAGCCTTAATTATTATGTTGTATTACAAATACGATTGCTTGTAAAGTTGCTTTACTGATGGTTTATTTGACGTAAATATTCTGGCGTATGATAATGTTGTTGCTGTGCATGAGCAAGCGAGGGATGAATAGGCGACGGAAAGCATCGAACATGTTCGACGCTTGTTACATCACTGTCTCCACTTTTTAAATACTTATTTAATACAGCAAAAATTTGCGAATTTAATACTTGGAATCTTCTAATTCTGTCCACCATTCTTTTCAAATGCTACGTAACACAATGAAACATGATCTATTATAATTTCGTTGTTAACATTGCTATTCGATAAAATATTCATATATCAACTTCTACTTACGATTCCTTTAACATTTTCGTCCTTCCCGTCTACCCGTTGCACTCTCAGAATATGATAACAGAAATCAAGAGCCTCGAAACGTCTTTGTTGGCCAAGTAATACTATCATAGCGCATCCAGCCCAGTGTAACCCTTCCCCAAATAGCTCCCTGCAACAGCGAATGATACAGTGAATTTTTTCTATTGATTTACAAATAATACTGTATTGTTATATACATTCATGTTACTAACTCAACCGTGAATTCCGTTTCTCCGACGGGAATACAATAGACAAATTGTAATGCGCTCCATAATCTATGAAACTCCGTGCATTCGTCAACGTTCATAACCCCATTTGCTGGAGGAGGACCAACCCATATAGGATCATCCAAGAAGCTACGCAATCTGCTAAGCACGACTTCAAATATCGACAAACCACAGCAAAGTCGTTCTCGTGTTAGTAAATCTCCTTCTCTGGCGATCATTGCTTGCTGTGAAAACAATTTGAATTATTTTTTAAACATTACAAATATATAGGACGAATTGTATTATACTTTTGATTACTCACCTTAGCTGTACCTAATTTATCTACGTTTGGAACGATTTGTAAGGCTGCATATTTAGCTTCAAGTCGTTTCTGCTTTGTTTCCGGTTTTTCGCCCTCTGCAATTACAGTTGTTCGAATATTTTCTGAATTAAAAAGTGTTGTCTTTCACGCTTTAAAAATCATACCTTTGCAATAAGGCCTGGGTAATATATTTTGAAACGGTGCTGCATGTAGCAAATCGCAAACTTCTTCTTGCGATAAAGCTTGTTCCATTAAGAGGCAGAATAGAATTGTGTTACCGAACTCTCGAAAATTGTGGAAAAGCTCGGTTTTCGCATCAGGGTATTGCACGATATCGTTTAACTGGGCATGATAGTATCCCAGGACACCTGGAGATCCATAATCGTATCTGGGAAGCTTGCAAACTTTCGGCATAGCTTCCATCAAGGTCTTGGTAAATTGATGTAAACTTCCTTGAATCAAAGACTTGACAATTTTCAGGAGCTCCTCCATTACTACCGCGATGCCTTGATAACCAAGAAGTTTACACATTGTTCGGAAATGCTGTGGGCCAACGAATCCCGAGTATTGTCCGTATTGCGTACTGTAAGCTAAATTTAATTGTTTACTTCCCCAAAGATAATGATGAGACATTTGCGGAGGTTTATCTCTGTGAACTGGTTGTACAAATTGAAGTCCTCTGCATTTTACAAATCTGTGAAGTACATTTCAATTTTAGGATACGAACTTTTATATGTATCTTTCTTTTTGTAGATTCGATGAGTAACGTTATACCTGTTTGTTGCTGCATTGTAACAATAATTTGGTAAAAAGTCATAATTCAGTTCCCAAAACACGTGAAGCGTGATTCGTCCATACGGAGCTAAAACATTATGATTAGCTTCTCTAAACATTGCATCGTATTCATCCAGTGCAAGCCATTTACTTAAAAGTTTATGAGTAAGACGATTAACTTGCAGAAGTCCTTCTAATTCCTGAAGTGTATAAAACATTACAATTAGATTTCTAATTTAATCTGGATATACGTTGAACAGAATTTATAAGTAGAATTTATAAACTTACTACAACTCCTGTAATATCACCGGACTCAAATTTACTAATTGCTAAATCCAACGATTTTTGCATGTCCGCATTAATACGTTGTGTGATCAACTTATTCAAGTCAATACTCCTTCCCAATAACTGAACATGTCTTTGTTTTAATAACGTTTCGTATCGATTGGCACGAGGGTATGGAAGTAAGTATGCTCCAAGAGCAACGCATTCGACTCGAAATCTTTTGTCTAACAATATACTTGCAGCCAGTTGCTTATAGTGAGCAAAAATTTGTTCGCTAAGCTTATAAACGAACTGATCAAAGCATAAATTTACTTCAGCTTCCACTTCATCGTACAGAAATTGTTTGCGGAATATCGTCAGTGCATATAATGCACTATCGTTGTATAAATCCAATGGATATAGAACATATCTAAAAGCATAACATTATGTATAATATATTTATATGTATTAAAAAGTAAAGCATTAAATGTACTTACTCCATCATCGATGGTTCTTTACTTCTTAGTATGTGATCAGTCAATATCCATGGCATAGACATCTCAATGGGGAACTGAAACATGAACCAGTAAACTTTAAAATCCTTATACGATAACTTGAGCATCAGTGCTGAATAGTATAATATTCCACTAATTACAAACCCCAAGTGTTAATAAAGTAATTAGAGAAACAGTTATATATTTGTAAAAATACAACATTAGAAATATTGTATTTGCTTTGAGGACACTACCTTTACATAAATATACATTGATTTCATCACTTAATGCATGCTACATATAAATACATAAAACAGAAATCAAGTTAACGATCGAATGTGCTATCCATCATGTTTCAATTTTTTCCAACTGTATTGTGCTTGTGTTATAAACGTGCAAATATTTCTTAACATAGTTTTAGATACGTGTATTTAAATACTTCACTTAAAAGCTGTTACAAAAGACGAACACAACATTTACACAGGCTGTACAATAAAAACAAATTCTAATACAACATATTCTGCAGTTTGAAATTATTCTTTGAATATCAGAAACACTAAAGTACAAATCGATTTCAACTATACAAAATGCAATTTCCATTATGAACAAATGCAGTAATAATGAAATCAGTAAACCATATAAATGGTTATATACTGCGGTAAGTTATAAGCGTAAGCCAACGTTGCTACAACCACTCGTGTCTAACAGAGTACCTGAATACGTTTCTCCATGGTGATCAAGTCGCTGCACTCTTCATTATGCTGGTGACGTACTTGGCATTTCTAGTCATGAAATCAAGCACACAAAACGCTATTTTGATAGTATTTTTTATATCTTAGTACAAAACATAAATTACTTCTATATTCATTAGAGACTAATAAGATAAAAGTGAAAACACCAAATAACGTTTTCCATTTAAAATGTTTACATGACTGAGTATAGAGTAAAAAAGGTAGCAAACAAATTTTTAATTACCTGTATCTTTCGACCCATGGTCATTTCCAGATAAAACTCTCTGTACCATAATTGAGACAAATCGCAACAGTCTTGTAAAGATTCTA